AAGAAAATTATTAGCGTTCTAGACATCTTCTCTCTATAAACTTTAACTATTCAATATCTTTCACTCCTCCGCGCGCTAAATGTGCTAAAAGAAATGTACAAAGTTTTTCCTTCGCGTATTATTAATAATGATAATGATAAAAAAGTACTTTCTAAGAAAATGTAATGGAAGTCAGACTTGATATGAGACTACAGTGAAAAGCAAAACAAACACCTTTCTCTTTATTATAAGTGCTTGCTCTAAAAAGTAATATGATAAGTAAAATAAAAATTAAACGTATTCACCCCACATAGTCTATAACAACGTAGGTTTAACCTCTGAGGCGACGAATAGAACACTAAAAAAATCAAGCTAAGAACCTTAGCAATCTCCGCTTGGCTCAACTATGTAATTGAAAATTTAATATACAGTAATTCCCTGTAAACCACAACATAAAATTGCGAGAAAATTGCTCGTGAGTTCACAAAGAAAGCGTCAAATAACGTACTTGGAGGAGTAACGTGAAACTATAAAAGGGATATTAACACTTACCTTATTAAATCTCTCTATTGATGGTGATAGTGGCTACCAAAGTCAGCATAGATAAAATCAAATAGTTCATTCTTTTTATAACACATACAGAAAGAGATACAATTTTTTTAAGGGAAGAAGTTAATTTTTTCACCATATCTATAATTATAATAAAGTACAAAACTGAGAAGTTTGATGTTATTACTTTCTTGTGTATCTTTTCTATTTCACATTCCTGCAAATGGTTCTTACAATGTCAATGAAATCAAGAATTTAAATAAAGTTTAGTTTCATAAGGCCTACCTAAACACGTAGTTATATGAAACTAAATTTTCAAAAGTTCGGGGTCTCAAATACCATTATTTTTCCGCATTACATATCAATATACATATTTTTCTGTAAAATATTCGATTTTACTAGCCTTTGTAGTTTTTTTTAAGACAGTTCTGTCTGAAAGTCGACTCACACCTCAGAATAGACCGTTCTATGTAACAACCTTTATTGTAGTTATAAAAAACTTTAACTAGTGAACTAATAGGACTACAAGCAAAAGCTCACGACTTTATCCCTGTAGCCCCATAAATTCTGTGGAAGTTAGAAAATGTCCTTTGCGAGAGAGCACCAAGGCACTGAGACTCACATCTACTCGTTTTTATGGCTGCGAGATTTAGTGACGAGTTATGGGCCTTTTATATCCACAAAGGGCAAATGATGGTGTAATGAACACAGGACTACGAGACCGAGACAACATACCCGGATAAAACCTAAACTACAATACACAATGTAATACTACAAGGTTTTTTTAAACACAATGTGCTGTAAATTATCCCATCCCATAAGATGTTAAGTGTGAATGTAGTCTGTTGGGAAGATAGTTGAGGCTCAAGCACGTACATTGACAACTCCTTAATCATATTGTCATCAATCAGCTCAGTAATCATATCAAATGGACGATTCAAAAGAGTTGTACTATACATCCAAATTCTGAAACTACTCACCATCAGAATCACAACACAACTAAAAGATAAGAAAAGTTATGACAGAGCGAGAACAGTGTTATGAAGTTCCCTACATTACTTACCTAATTATAGATACTGTTAACACTGGTCTTCATCCTTGTTAATCTCTTATATGAGGCGCGCCGTGTCAAACCTCAGTTTGTTTGGGTATATGACCTGTTAAACTAGTCAAGAAAGGTAGGGCATTGAGGATTTCCGCTCGCATTGGAGCGCCCATGTAGGGAAGTAACCTCCACCTTGCAGAAACAGTGAAAAAACATTTCATTACTTAATAATTGCTAAAGCTTTATGTCTATACTAATATTTAAATGCGAAAGTGTGTCTGTCTGTTACTTCTTCACGCTTAAACCGCTGAGCCGATTTAGATGAAATATTGTATAGAGATAGTTTGAGTTACTGGAAAATACATAGGATAGTTTTTATCACAGAAATCATCCTATAAGGAGGTGAAAAGGGGGTCGAGGTTTGTATGGGAAACCAATTTTTCCTCGAAAACGAAGTCGCGGGAATCCACTATATACCAGTAAATAATAATAAAAAATCATTCGGTTATTGTAGCTGTCACATTCTATGTTTTTCCTTTAGCAGCTTTGCAGTCTTTATACTTGCGATACAATACAAGCATTTTCAATTCAGAACCACCACCAAAAATCATCTATCTCGAGTTCCTCCGTGCTTCGGAAGTAGGCTTGCCAGGTGTCCGGCTTTAGCCGGACATGTTTGGCTTTTTGCGGTCGCGTCCGGCCAAATATGTACGTGTTTGGCCTGTCCGGCTTTTGTCAGGCTTTTTGTCAGAGTGGCGATTCGTACAATGATGGGCGGACTAGCGTCCGAGCGGACAAGAGAGCATCCATCTTCGATCTCATTCTCACGTATAAATACTTTTTTCAACAGCCCAGCTGTAAAAACATTATGTTTGGCAATAAAAAAAAATATTTCCGGCTTTTAGCAAAATGTCAGGCCTTACATAGTGCATAGTCCGGCCTTTGCATTTTATGGCCTGGCAACCTTATTCGGAAGGCACGTTAAGCCGTTGGTCCCGGCTGCATCTGCAGGCGTTAGCACCCGCCAATCCGCACTGGGCCCGCGTGGTGGGTCATGACCCAAACTCCCTATTCCATCCATAGGGAAGGCCTGTGCACCAGCAGTGGGGACAGTGCGGATTGGCGAGTGCTAACGCCTGCAGATGCAGCTGGGACTAACGGCTTAACGTGCCTTCCGAATAAGGTTGCCAGGCCATAAAATGCTGATGATTACTAACTACGGCTTAAAAATTGGAGTAAGTAATGGAGCAGAATCACACACGATGACGAGCACAATATATCAAAAGTCAGAGTAGGGCCATCGATTTTTGGAGGATTGAAATTGAATTAGGATAAAAAATTTGGCTAGTTTCTAGCGTGCTACAGCTGTATTATAAGATCTACTTTAAACTCAAAACGCCATCCAAATGCTAACCGCGACCGAAATGGTACCATTCTATGCATTTTTGCCCTCTTAACAATTAAATTAATATTATATTTCCAAGACTTACACCAATTAGACTAGCCCCAAAGTAAGCACGGATGTGGACTTGTGTTATGGGTTACTAGGGTAACGGATAGAATATGCATACTGATAATTAAATAAGTATTTTTATATAGAAAAACATATTAAACATCCATGACTGGAGTACAAATGCTCGTATTCATCACACAAACATCTGCCCCCACCGGGATTCAAACCCGGGACCTCTCGAGTAGGCGACACCTTGAAATCCAGCGTACATATTACTCGGCCACGGAGATCGTCGCAACAATTTATCACTTCATTTATTAGTCTTTATTGCTATACAAGAAATTGAGGACTTAATTCCATAAAATGATATCTACAAGTATCATCGGCCTCCAAGGCTAAGAAAATACTAAAACTTGATTAGGTACTTAGAAGAAGCGTCACTTGCAGTATCACAGTGTAGCTAACTGCAATATGTCAGTTGATTATTTTTAATCTTGAGCGAGTACGATGATTTTATAATCTACTAGCTGACCCAGCGAACTTTGTACCGCCATAAAAATAGGGGCAGGTGGTAGAAGGGTGAAAATTTAGGGTTGTATGTATTTTTTAATGCCACATTATAAAAAATATTAATTTTCCAAAAAAAATTGTTAGGGGTGTGTAACGTTGTGTTCCATCAATTACCTGGGATAATATTCCTCCGAACCTATATGAGAACACTACAATACCCAATAATTTAATCTGGGCGCGAAGGCGCTTGTATGTGTCAGAACACTACGTTATTACAGGTGGACAACCATTATCATTTAAGGGTATGAAAAATAGATAGTAGTCGATTCTCAGACCCACTGAATATGCATTCATAAAAATCGGTCAAGCCGTTTCGGAGGAGTATTGTTACTAACATTGTGACACGAGAATTTTATATATTAGATAAAACTGTGCTCTATGTATTATCAGGTATGATAGTGGGACTTGAAAATAGCAGAGATGAGCAAACCTTCACCCTGCAGCTCAGCAGCGGGGTAATACGCCTCTGCGTAAACAGATAAGTACCAGATTCGGCAGCGCGGTGATCCTTGTCGGAACATGTTAAAAAATTGAACTTTTGTTTGATGATCGCGGACCGGATTAGCTATGCGCGAGTAAGAATGATTTTACCTTTCGACTTAATGGTAACTACTAATTTGGCTATTGAAAGGCAAATTAGTAGTATACTAAAGTCATTATTCGAATAAAGTCTACTAATTAGTAATACTAATGTAAAATGTCGCTGCGTGCGATGCGCGCCGCCCGATACCTTCGACTCCAGTCGAATGATATAAAGCGCAGTCGACTTAGTCGAATGATTAGTATTAGTATTATTCGAAGTCGCGCATCGCTAGACCGGATTCCATCATTCGAGGGCCAGAAATGGCCCGCGGGCTGTAGTTTTCTCATCCCTGATCAATTGTACTAGGATTCCTGCATGGATTTAATATTAAATGATACGTATGTAATTGTACAGTGATACATCACTCGAACAAACAAAACGGTCACTAACAGGCTACTCACTCAAATAGAGTACAGCCCAAAGTTTAACAAAGTTGTGTTGGTGTACTTAAAACAAACTTTTACCAGACGAACGATATAAATTAAAATTTCCCCTTTGTTTTTCAACTTGCTAAGCAAGGCTGCGCTTTGAAAAGTTTTTCAGTTAGCCGCAATTTTAGTAGGACGTAAATAGGTTTCGCTTTGTATCATAAAGTTCACAGATTAATATTATTCTTCTACAATATATTTTAATATTATTTTATATCTCGCCTCATGTGTCACCTTATATGTCTCTAAACACTTTGTCTCTCTGTAACTATGTGTTCATAAAACTCCCTAAAAAAGCAAGTATAAAAATTACGTACTTACCTGATAAGAGTATTTTAGTTTAAAATTTACCAATCACTACTAAGAAATTAAATTAATACTTACTTGCCTTCTTCATTGTGATTCAATCTTATCTATGGCATAGATATAACTAGTATTTTTTGTTATTCAAGGAATAAAGCAAAATCTGTGTATACAAAATACTCGTAGTATATAAATTACGTCAATGTAGAAAATAATAAAACTTACCCATGTCATCGATGAGAGGGGCCATTCTAAGCGTTACACCTACTAGCAGCAAGCAGAGGAAAAGCAGCAAACATGCTGTCACCATGATGGTGTAGCGGGCGCGTCTCGGCAGCTCATCTGGATCCAAAACCTAATGGACAAAATGCAATGTTATAAGGAGAATACATTTGTCTAAAACCCCGTGTATGAAAATAATCCTATATTTTCGTACTCGGGGTTTTCGTTTCAGTCAACTACTATATAATTGCCTTACTTAGATAGTAAAGTAACTTTAAGTGAAAATTTCTTCTTTCTACGGCTTGCGTAATATCCGTTTTATTGCTTTTATTAAAAAAAGATAAGTCAGGTGCCAATATTAGTCACGCGCACCGAAGGTTCCGTAGAAACTTATAATATGCAACACACACATAATGACTTCAGTCGTACATTTTATGCCACTTAGACTACTTTGAGACTCCACTTACACTGAACATGGGTCTGATAGAGTAAGTACTACATTTGCAGCTGTGCCTGGTATAAAAAAAAATATCCGTACTATGCATTGTCAAGTTCATTTTCTACTTCAAGTGGTGGTTTTTTATGTAGGCATGAATTTTGTGTTCTAAAAATACCACTAAAGGACATCGATGAAATCGGCCCCAGCATGCCCAAAAGAATGTTAATTAATTAGCAATTAATCATAGTAAACGGAAAAAATTGTTTAAAATAATAAAAGTTCTGTTACTAGATACTACAGTCTGTTCATCCTAACTTGTCCTATTTGGTAAACAATCCTGGCACTCCTTTTTATTGAAAATACAGCATTTAAAATCAACTGATAACTGGATTCAATAGGTTTGAGCCTATGATAACGATTTATTTTAATAGTTTATTGACTTCGTTATTATTTTATTTTTAAATGGGTGATTTTGTTAAAAAGTTGTGCCAAGATTGTTTATAGGCGACCATACGCATTTATTAACATAAGAATAGAACTAGGTACCTTCGTTAATCCTTAGTTAATAATACTTATCACTAGTATTTATATTATATTTATAAAAAGTTTATTTCTGAAATTATGTAAAGATAGTTTATAATATCATAAAATAATATAATACGTATGATATCTGTTTATTTTTATGAAAATCATAATGATAACCAGGTACGTCCCTAATTACCGATAGTAAAATATAGATACAGGTAAATGGAAAGACTTTTAACATTTGATTTGAAAAGAAATCTATTATTACAACAGGTAGGTATAGGCTGGTTTAGGTATCATAGGTGCCAACTGCCAACACTCATAAATCAATATATAATATAAGCATTTATTAATTGCATTTTATGTTCATTGAATGCATATTAAGTGCTTACATAGAGGTAAACACTAAATCTATTCAGAATATATAAATAAAGTGTACACCTTTTACGAAGTATAATAATTATAACCTCAAAATCTAATACATTCTGTGGTAGGCCACGGTTCCTCAAGTTGTCCGTATCTCAACAAATGCCCAATTAGAGTTTATGAATGACTTTTTTTCTTCAGACGTTTTAATAATTATTTTGAACACTAAATCGGTTATTTGAAACCATGATAGCTAGATATATGTTCTCACGGACTTTTTTGTAGGTCTTAATGGGATCTACAAACCCGTAGTACATCATTTTGTTCTATTGTCAATAGATTTTGCAGCGCACGCAAAAATAGGTTTTCGATTTTACACCTTGTATTACAAAATAGCAATTTTATTACGGATCCCTAATTTTGAAAAAAAATATATCGTCGTTGTGACTTTAAGACCTCCCATGTGTAAAATTCTTCAATGCGAGATATTCAATAAAAACTGTCTACTGAAAAAAATGTAAGGAAACTAAATATAACAAAAAATACAAGTGATAACTAGAGGGTTTTATGATTTTTATTTTGCTCTTGTCGTTTTAAATAAAAAAAGAAATTGTGGTAAAAAAATAAAAAAACAATTCAATGTGACACATAAGAGGTTTTGGTTGCGCGTTTTGTATCACATTAGAGAATATAAGTATGTAAAAGGGATTGAGATTGAAAACACAAGACTTTTAATTAAACAAGTTATTTGTTTTTAATATTTATCATTGCAATGACAATAGTATAAAATAGTGGTTTTATGTATTGCTCAATAGTGGAGTGAACACTGTCCACCTCCATCATGGTGTGCCCTTTTTTATGTTTAATAGGCAAGGCGTTTGAGCAAAATCTCGCCTGATGGAAAGCAATGATGTGGCCTAGGATGGTACACGCCTGCCTAGAAGATGCTTGTGCACTCTGGCCTTGAAGATTTCCAGATTATATTGGTCCGAGAGCAGTTCCACTCCCTAGCCGTTCGAATAATGAAAGCGGAAGTAAATCGCTTCGTGCGAATGGGAGGAACTTGGACAACATAAGGGTGAAAGCCCTCACCGCACCTGGTCATTCGGTGGTGGAAAGGGGAAGGGGGAATCAAATAGTGTAGTACCTCCGCACACTCCCCGAAATGTAACCGATAAAACACCGAGAGGCAAGTTACACGTCTTCGGTGGTCAAGGCTCTGGAGATTAGCCTCAACGAGAGCGTCATTACCTATGAGTCTCTTCGCACGGTGTTCCACCGAGCCCAGTGCATCCAGCTGATACCGAGCAGATCCATACCAAAGGTGACAACAGTACTCCAAGCAGGAGCGAACTTGGGCTCAGTAAAAGTTAAGGAGCTACTCAGATGGAAAATATCGCCTGATCTTTGAAAGTATTCCAAGTTTTATGGCAGCGGTTTTAGCAATGGACTCGATGTAACGACCGAAATTGAGGCCGAATGAGATGTCCAGACCTAAGAACTCCAGATGGTCTGTAATCGGCACGGAGATATTTCGGAAAGTCGGAGTCAGATGGAATGGACTTCGTTTCGCCGAGAAGAGACAGGCTTGTGTTTTAGAGGGATTGAACCCAACCAAGTTGGCTTCACCCCAGAGGGAAACAGCTTCCAGGGTTGCATTCACTCCCTCCACCATCGCGTCCCTTAAAGATTGGACGTCTGCATCAGACATCAGGCAGGTATCCCTCCGAGACTGTGCTGTCGTCTGCATACCCAAAGATACCGCGAGTAAGGAGATGATCATTGCTTTCCTTTCTCTAAATAGAGTATCGATATTCAATTGCCTTCGTTGCCAAATCATTTAGGGCACTCGACAAAATTCGGTTTCTGTTCTACAAACATAAAAATAATAATACACTGAATTGTAGTTGGTAAATTTGGCAATGGTCTATTTAGCAAGATGTAAATTCATTAGCAGTTACATTACCGTCTGCTTCGTGCCAGCAGTAAATTGATACATTTCAGATTAATATTATAAACAGTGAAATTATGACATTGTAACTTCAATTTATATTTATAGTACAGGGCACTTGCCAATAGCTTTGGAGCAAGCAATACATTTTTCACATCGATTGTTATAACCACAATTTAACCACAGAGCGAGAACCCGTCGAAGCTAACGTAATTTTTATATTACTACCCCCATCTAACATTAATCACGCGATCTATGCATCCCTCTCATTCCAGTGCTTCTATTGGTTAGTTAGTTCGAAAATTTGACCAATAACAATTTGTACCTATCTAGCGCTTTTACACATAAGATATTTTAAATGCCAACTTTACTTGAGCAAGCACTTAGGATATATTGAATAAAGTAAATAAATAGAAATTGAAAAGACGTATTCACATGAAAGTTCTTGATTTCGATGTAGCGCCAAAATAAACCCGTATAAAAAAGGTATTTCGACAAAAATGACACATAGGAGGTCTTGAAGTCGCAACGACGATATAGCCTATAGCGTTCCTCGATAAATGGACTACCCAACGCTGAAAGAATCATTCAAATCGGACCAGAAGTTCCAAAGATTAGCGCGTTCAAACAAACAAACTCTGCAGCTTTATAATATTAAAGTATAGATTCCGAACACAACTAGCATTTTCTCATTGCTGTGGCATTCAATATAAATGCGGAACGAGCAATGTCCTTTACTTCTATACAAAAAGAAAAATAACTGTGCTGACATCTTTTGAGGGGTGGGTAAATTAAAGAAGAAATACAAAGCATGAAGATCCTATGTGATAAAGTTGTATCTGTTTCAAAGATGGCGCTGAAAAAATTTATTTTGACAAAACGCTGCTTTGTTTATCTCTATAACATGTTATTTTAATACTGCTACGAATTATTTTGGCTTTAAAAGCCGTTTTTAATAGAACGCCATCTGTAGAAGATTATATTCAATATAAACTTTTCAACCTAGGTGAACTAGAATAGTGACCTCATAGTTAGTGGTATTTTTAAAAGGACAGCATAGATGGCGTTTCTGCCAGAAATACCATGGATAGCAAAACACTCGCAAAAACTAAGTTTTATGAGGCATTGGGAGGAAATGAAGAACATTAGTTTTATAGGGGAATTTTCGCAAGAGGAGTCACACTGAGTTATCTACTAGCCAGTATAATAAATAAAGTATTTTACGCACGTACACATCCACTTTTATGACTTTCAGTAAATTACAGAACACTGTCTAAGGAAAATATCAAAATGGATTATTTTCGGTAGATAGTAACCGCGTAACGTGGATTTTACAGATTTAATTTATTTAGGACCCCAGTAACAACAGTTTTTTTTTTTCTATCATCATCAGCATATTGATGTCTCAACTACTGTTACATGGAATGTAATACCGGGATACTGATACATTTTGCGGTACTAATCTTGGTCTAAAACTTAGCGGGATCCCGCTGAACTACCGGGTTCTACAATTTATTTAATCCAGTTATTATGTACTAGCGGCCCACGACATCAACCGCGTTATCTTTTATTTTTTGAGAAAAATAAGTATCTTATATTTTGTCCTGATTATAAGTTGTCTGCGTGTAAAATTTCTTCCAAATCCGTTCATATGTTTTTGCGTGATTGAGAAACAGACATACAAATTATTGCATAAACATATATATTATTACATGGTAACAATCCCGTTAATAGCGAGTTAATATAATGTTAGTGACCATGAAAGTTTAAAACAACAATCATTCAAACTTTCGCATTTATAATAGATATTTATTGGTAGTAGGATGTACATTATTTATTTCTTCAACATTTGTGGTTGTCAACATCTCATTAACGTTGGTGTTACCACCAGGTTTGTTTTTATTTGATAACGAGTAGACGACTCACCAGATTAGAGCAGTAATTAATCACCAATGCAAAACCAGAAACTTCGTAGACCAAGATTCAAAGACCGCCAGACCTTACTTATTTTCTCATGGACAAAATATGGATAGTTTTATTGAGTACCTAGTATTAGTGTGTACAATGAAGGTATACTTGCTAACTTGTGCTGTGAGCCAATTTTAAGGTATCAGGTGGCACAGGCATGTAAAATTTTTCTGTGATTTTACTTGAGATACAGTCTGAGGACTGATTCCTAGGTGTTCAGAGAATATTGTAATGAATTTGAAATTAAGTGGCAATAGAAACTGCTGACATAATGTGTCTGGCATAGACACATTATGTCAGCAGTTTTTATTGCCAGACACTTTTAATGTCAAAAGCAAAAAACACAACCTTACTTTTTTTCTGCAACAATGAGCTCCGGGTGTGACAAGTGCCAGTTTTGACATAAGCTTCATACATTTCATGTCAGAATTGAAACGTCATGTAAAAAGTTGCGTCCTGGGCGATAACATTTTTTCCTTTCTTATGCTTCCATTCCCTTTCACGAAATCACTCCCATAGATTTCAGGAAAACGAGAGAAAAGATACTTAATACATAATAGACACAAAATGAATTACAGTCTGTTCGACGAGAACGTGACCGGCATATTAACAAAAATGGTATTCAGTTTAATAAAATAAATATAGGGTTGAATAGAATCCTTTTTATAAAATTCTTTGTAATAAATAAAACACAAGTTTTTCCTCCAGTTTCTTGCCAAAAAGCACAGTGATAAAATATCTACTTTCAGAAATGTAATAAAAAAAAGGCCATCCATTGTGAATGCGAAAATAAATATCATGATTGGGCCAGGGTATTTTTCCCATGAATCTTAGTTTTGACGTGATAACGTCTTATAAACGCCACGGTAGTAATGGATACGTCAGATTACAACGACAAGATATTACAACTTCCATCGGATGAGCACACATATAAACTTGTGCAGAATGATCCGACCGCCAAGATTCTCAAAAAGACAAGTGAACTCATCAAATCACTTCCCGAAACGTTGGATCTTGACATCAACTACCTAATTCCTGCATGTCCCAAGCCACCAAAACCGTATGGGTTACCGAAAATACACAAACCGAATGCTCCGCTACGTCCGATTGTAAGCCAGATTGATTCACCAACATACCGGGTAACACAACAGCCTTTGTGAAAGATTCATACCAATTTGTCAATGAGATTAGAGATCAACGTCTCATGGACAATGAAATCATGGTCAGTTTTGATGTTCAGTCCTTATTTACATGCCTACCAGTACAGGACTGCATTGAAATCACTAAGAAGAAGCTACTTGAAAATAATATGCCTATAGAATATGCAGTATTACTGGAGCATTGCCTTACAACTGGCTACCTGTTATGGGGGGATGACTTCTATGTACAAATGGAGGGCGTTGCAATGGGTTCCCCTGTCTCACGTGTTGTCGCCGATATTTTCATGGAAGACTTCGAGAAGAGGGCTCTTAGCGTAGCACCTGTCACACCCAGGCTATATAAGCGGTACGTAGATGATACTTTCACAATCCTCCCAACAGATCGAATTTCTGCCTTTTTAAATCACCTTAACTCTATACACCCCAACATCCTATTCACTATGGAGTTAGAGGCAGATAGTAAACTAGCTTTTCTAGATATTTTATTAATCAGGAATCCTGATTAATAAAAAGTCAAAGTTTAAGCCATACTGTGTATCGTAAAGTGACTCATACTGATAGGTACCTCAATGGTGACTCACACCATCACCCGAAACAATTAACTGCCGTAGGAAACTCTTTGTTTCAGAGAGCACAGGGTGTCTGTGACAAACAACACCTGGCAGCTGAACTTCCGACCATGTCGAGCAAGTACTGAAGGATAATAACCTGAATGTACCACGTCGCCGTCACAGTCGCGCAAAACCTAGCACAGTCGACCGACAACCTACTATACTACCTTACATGAAAGGAGTCACTGACAAGATTGGGAGGATTCTGAAGCGTGCTTCAATCAATACATACTTCAAGCCGCCAAAGAAGATCAACCAGTTTCTACGACCAGTCAAGTGCAATATACCCTTTCAAGTTGCTGGTGTCTACAAACTTGAATGCGACTGTGGGCTCTCCTACATCGGGCAAACAAAGAGAAGTATAGGGACTCGGGTAAAAGAACATATCGCAGATATGAAACATAGGCGCGAAAATAAGTCTGCAGTGTGTGAACATACATTAGGGGGACCAAACCATTACATTAGATTTGATAAACCACAGATCCTTGCAGCTGAGCGGCGGTTCGTTCCTCGAATGATGCGCGTGGCTATTGAGATTAAAAAATATCCAAATTTCAATATGGAAGATGGTTGGTATATACCACCAGCTTGGGAACCTATTATACAGAAGATAAAATCCCAACCCCGAGCACACACTGCAAGACTATCAGATACTATTAGTTCTTTTTGTTTGCATAATTTAACATAAGAAGGAGATAGAAAGCCTCTCTTGAGTTTGTTTCGCCGGTTCTTCTCAGAAAGGTCTCCCAATTTTGGAACCGGTGGCAGTTTACGGTAGTTCGGGTCAAATAAATAAACTCAAAATAACAAAAAAGAATTTTAAATAAAATACTTTAATTAATAAGTAAATGAAATAATAAATTCATACATAGACAATAAAATTTTAAAAATCGAACAATGAAATAACCGAACGCTCAATAAAAGTCTTTCGAAGGTAGCTCGACAAATTAAATAAAAGTTTAATTCTGACGACGTAGCCTGTAAAGGCTACGAAACGTCAATAAATAAATAAAGTTTCGTGCATTAACCCGTAAAAACTAGTTTTATTTAATATTCATCGCCTTTTTTATGAGGTACATCTTTTGATGAAACCGCCCTTTTGCTGGCCCTGTTCAGGGCGTTAGGTAGGGCTCTGCTCATTTCATCGAGCCCCAGGGCTGGCTTAAATGAGCAGAGAGGAGTCCCCCAGTGGTTGAAGGATGCGTAAGGCATTTCCCGGACATGAAAAAGGTACGCGACATAAACATTTTCTTACGTTAACTTAGAAATTTGATTTTTTCACAAGTTCAAGGGACCGTAGTCCTGAATGTATTGTTTCTATTTTAACTAAATATAAATTTAATGTTGTTCACGACGAATAACAATTTTACGGGTTAATAAGTTCAATGTTATGCTTACCCAGACCTTACCTTTATAACCTATTTGTTCTTAATGTGCGGGACATTAAGAATCCTCAAAAACATCGAGAATTAGATTTTCATAACCAAAATAACTATAAGATTGTTTCATTGGTACTAAAACTAAATAAAAGTTAAGAGAAAATAATTTAAGCTACAATTAATTTTATTTTTGAACATGCAGTTCGTTGCCTCAAAAGAAAAAAAAACGGAACCGTTTTCGGTTTTCTTTAATGTCCGCCGTTCATCAATCTGCCCATCTATCAACAGACCCTTTTCTCAGGAATGCGCGGAAGTATCAGGTTAAGATTTAAATCAAATACTCAAGTTGCCATTTCAAGTTGTGCAAAAAGTCAACGCACTTAATAGACATAAGTGATACTACAGACCCCATAAAGCGCCTTGTGATACAAGTACCTGAACACGTGGCAGTAGCCACTATATGAACCGACCAAATTAAAATTGCTATCGTTGATCCTATTAATAACCTCTCCTACCGGGAGAGCTCGAATAGAGCCAGGTGGCGGGAAATCGTAAAGCGAGCTACAGTTGCGGGGGAGGGGCCCCCGCTAAACCTCATCGTGATCACGACCACTCTAAGCGAGAAGAGAGAAATATATTTCCAGTTCGTAAACTAACCGCGACTAATTAAATACTGGATTACAGCTGAACGAAATGTTTACATACCTACAATTACGTACCGAACTCTTGGTGCGAAAGTCCGACTCGCACTATGATTAGTTTCTTTTTCTCACATTCATTAATGCGCGACTCGCACTCCGATTACTAAATCTGTTCTTTTCGTCCAACAGCCTAGTACTTGAGACCTTATTTAATATCCACCAGTCCTTACGTGTATGACTTTGGCCTGCTCATCGATGGCGGAAACGAGCAGCGTGCGGTGTTTGCGCGGCTTCTGTGAGTGCGTGTGCGGGCTGCGCCGGCGCCGTCTGCGACGACGCTCCAGCTCCAACTGATCAGGACTGCACATTTCACTGGAAATAAGAAGAACATTTACTAATGGTGAGAGAAATATATATAATTAAACTGTTTAAGTATATATATATATATAATTTTAGCATAAATACGAAGTAATTACTTATGCTAAAATAATCCGCTTAGGTAGGTACCAAACAAAAAAAGAGATAGAAAAATATAAAAGAAAGAAGATGCTAAGATTCATTGAAATAACATTTAAAATAACTAATTTTCAATGTTGATGAGAAAATGTAATGTCTGTAGTTAGTATCGAACTACTCTTGATATTGTGGAGACGTCGAGCCGTTAATAACAATCCCAATAGGTGCAATATTAAGAACTTATTATGTTTTATATATTTATCATGTTATTCTATTTTTATGGATAGGTGCAACAAAGACTCCACCCCTTCTGATGTTAAGTAATGGTTAAGATTAGACGTGAAAATATCAGATACAGCAGATTTATCTACCACAACAGCCGTCCTCACCCTGCTGGCCTGCGAGTTGCTTCTTCACGCTTCTTTTAAAGGATCCCGGGTTGTAGGATGGAGGGAACACGTGAGCGGGCAAAGTATTATATTTTAGGATCGTGCGATAAAGAAATGAGTCAACTTTCTTTGTTCGCGTTGGAATAGTCGCCACAGAAAGTCGGTTACAACGTAGGCCAGCTCGCGTGAAGGTAAGGGGAAGGTGGAATAAGGCAGAATAACTCCTCATAACATTCGCCATGGTATTGTCGATAGAAAGCGCTTAGTGATGCCATGGTCTCGAGGTTGTTAGTTACTTCTACATCGATCGATGCGAGCGCGACGCTGCAATATATCCAAGGCATCAAGTAGGTACTTGGTGGAGCCATCCCAGAGCATAGAAGAAAGCAATGAACATTCCCAAGACGAATTAAATCATTGATGTGCAGCAGAAGGAGTGTGGGTGTGGAATGGAGCCCTGAGAAACACCAGCATTCATTGACAAGAACTGCGAACTACATCCATCTGTAAGGACGCGAATTCTACGCTCATGCAGGAAGTAAGCAACCCAGGCACAATACTGAGCAGGTAGGCTATATGTAGGAAGCTTGGAGAAAACTTTTGAAGCCTATCAAAGGTCTTGGCGATGTCAAGGCTCACAGCCAGACCTCGCTTGTCAATAGGATGTGTGTCACGTACGCTAGAAGGTCACCAGTCGATCGATTCGGCCTAAATCCGTACCTATTGACGAGCGTCGATCAGAGAGAGCCGTAGACTTTCCACAATTCTGAGGTGATAGCTATCGGCAATAGTTTACTATCCATCGATAGAGATCTCATTCTAAAACTTTGAAATTACTTCACATTTTAAAGGCGCATCTTGTCGCGTATGCTTAAATTGTAAAATGAGCTGTCAAAGTTTTCCCAATGGAATACAGCATAGCTTTTCTCAAAACAGGCGTAAAGAAGTTTCTTCAAGTTGATTATACAAAGGTTATTATCGATCTTCGATCGATCGAAGGTTTATATATCTTCTAGGTATAAAAGCAGCTTGCGGTTAAGAACTTTTTCTATAACCTTACAGATTATAGAAGTAATGGCGATCGGATCCTATGTTGGCAGATGGTGGAAAACCTTATCTGTTTTTTTAGCTCTTGCAGGATAGACAAGTTGGTGCGATGTGCTGTCTGTCCAAGGACTACCCAGCATACTTTGTTAGCACCACATCTCGAAAGCATCGATACAGTCTTGGTCAGTTTTCTTTAGGATTCACGACTCCACCCCGTACAAAAATATAGAGAACAACAAAGTCCATCCCGATTCTTCTTCGTGCCACATTCTCGTATGAGCTATTACAAGTGATGCGTGAGTCCAGGTATATAAGGTTATAAACGGAATGCAAATCGTACATGTTTGCATTCCGTTGGCAGCAGGCTCGGAGTTCCAGATTTAAAAATAGACGCCACACCTTCGTTGCCCCAGGGCCCTGCCTCAAGTCAAGTTTCCCAGTAAGCTTAAGCTTTCCTGTGCGATCTATGACCATAATCTTGGTTTTGGAGCTGTTTATCTTAAGTCTCAGTTCTATGCTAATGTGCTCCAGCCTCTATAATCCAGGATTAGTTCACGCAGATTTGTTTTCCCCATCCCGTGTAATTTTTAATGCACAATATAGCCGCGTTTTCTCGCTAAACGGTAAATATACCGTTGATAGGTGTGACCTCTGTCTATCTAATAAGATACACGGCGACCGCGTATTAATTTCCTTAAAAAACGAGTAACACGGATAATTAAATCACATGTATTACATTTTTTTTTATACATTTTTTTTTACTTAATACTTTTTTTTATTTTATTGTTCCGGTAAAATGACAATTGAAAAAACGATTAAGACCAATAGGTCTTAATCATTTTTTCTACTCTTAATAAAGCGTAATTCGTGTAATCCAGGTTACTCGAGTTTCGCTTACTACAGCAGATTTGCTGGCAGTACAAAAAAGAAAAGTCTCAAAATATCTTTGTTCGCGTTGAAACGATGGCCATAGTAAGTATGAGGTAAGCAGGAAGTAAGTTTAGAATGGTTAAGGTTTTTTTTTATATTATAGACCTTTAAGGAAGGAGTACGACCTTTTTTAAGGAAAGCTAAAAATTTATGCCACGGTTTTGTCATACGTGGTAAAAAAATCGATAATATCGCACATTATTACCACCAACAGATACTATTAGTTCTTTTTGTTTGCATAATTTAACATAAGAAGGAGATAGAAAGCCTCTCTTCTGTTTGTTTCGCCGGTTCTTCTCAGAAAGGTCTGCCAATTTTGGAACCGGTGGTAGTTTATGGTAGTTAGGGTCAAATAAATAAACTCAAAATTACAAAAAAGAATTTTAAATAAAGTACTTTATTAACTAAATTAAGTAATAAATTCATACATAGACAAGTAAAACTTTAAAAATCGAACAATGAAATAACCGAACTCTCAATAAAAGTCTTTCGAAGGTAGCTCGACAAAATTAAATAAAAAATTGTTCCGACGAAGCAGCCTGTAAAGGCTGCGAAACGTCAATAAATAAATAAAGTTTCGTGCATTAACCCGTTAAAAACTAGTTTTATTTGAAAACTCTTTTGTTTTACTACTTTCAAGAACGCGGATCAAATATTCCTTATTTTTAAAGAATTTCAGATAAAGTTTTTTTTTAAAGATGCGAGTTACGCTTTCTCTTTTTATTTGACTTATTTGATAATAATATCGAAGGTAATATTATTCAGGGGGAACAGTGGGCATTACTTTTTCCGCGCAATCCTACGCAAACAGCGTTTGTCCTCAGGCAAATATACTTAGCGGTTATTTATTGCCGGTTGGCTACACCGCACTTGTTCTTGGGGAGATAATAATTCATTTTTCATAGGTACTCCATAGGATAAAATTATACTTTCATATTACCTACTAAGTTCATTTTATCTTGAATTTAAATGATCCGATCAGTGTTGTCAGAAATAACTAAAATTCTACAATTTGGCTATCGTAGTGTCATTTCAACGAGAGTAATATTTGAATAATATTGTATCTATACACTATTTGGCTCAAAATTAAGTTGTTGATACTGACTATACACGGAAAAAATAATTTATCAGATATTTCATAAATAACACAATTATCAAGAGTTGTAACCAATATAACTAAAGACATAAATAAGTAATTTCATTTATTATTAAGCAAGCAGGTCTCAGGCATGAGCCAGACGTGTAAAAAATTAACAATAGAAACAAGAAATAAAACTTTCACGTATCTAATATTGATTACTTTAGAATACTGTTTTCCAAATGCAAACTTCAAATCTGAATAATAAATCGTTTCAAGCATTTTAAACAATAGCTACCTGTGGTGTGTGTGCAATTTGAGCTTCTTTTGTTTGTGTCTGGCGATTTCATGCTCGCACCAGTGCGATGGCAATTCGTCCCCTTGGTTGCCAATCATCGATGCCTCCTCTGAAACAAAAAATTGTAAAGTGTCATTATATTTTTATTTTAAGAATTAAACTGATAGACTTTTTTTCTGCGGAAATTTTAAGTATAAAAAAATAGTTATAATTTTTATTATTTTTAAAACATGTAACTCTTTAGATATAAAAAAATATTTAAGTCGGTGACTTAGCAGCCAGTGCATTCGCCCGGATAGCAAAGAATGTTGATTTGTTTCCGACCTGACTGTTTAGGTAGTTTCCAGTAAAACAATATATTTTCTAAATACGTATAAAAAAGGTATTATATTAATTAAAATATTCGAAAACGGACTTATCTAACCTAATTCATATCATTAAAACACTTGTTCACTTACATTTTATATTCTATTGTAATTAGTGAGGATGAGCCAGTGATAGCACACATCATAAATGTGGCAACATAATTTAAATGTTGCACTACGAATTGTTACCGGAGAAAAAAATTTATCTCAATTTTATGAATCACATCAGGGCAACTTTAGTCTCTAAATGTAAAAGTTCAAACAGCAGTGGGTAAGTAGGTACTGCAACTATTTTAGTGCTAAGATAAAATATCATGTGAGCCACGGTCTCTACACAAACACTGCACTGCAACACTGTTGCATATTTAATGATAGCGCTGCGTTAAAAGGCTACTCTTCAGAATACATAGTATAGTAACACCTAAGATGAACTTAAACATTACATGTCTCAACGCCATCTTGCTTGCAAAGTAGACGGATCATAAAAGGAGCTGGTTTGGAATATGCTTATAATATGACCAATAATCAGATGAAATATAGCATGATTTAAGCATTAAACTGCTTCATTTTGGTATCGGAACATAATGTTTGCTATTTTCGCTAAATTCAACTCGGCCAAGATACCAGGAAACGAGCGAATGCTACTTGCTACCGAAATTACTTTTCTGGTAAAAACTGTAATTAACCGCCTATAATATACATGTTGGAAAAGCGAAGGCCAATACCAACGTATAGACAACATATTTGTCTTGCCTTGTCATCGCTCGGTATCGATTGCCTTATTTGTCAAGTAAAGAGCGCCAACGTGTATAGACGTCATTTGGCGTCGCTTGTCAGCCCTCGCTGTCGCTCGCCAACATTTGTCTCACGTCGTCCATAATAACTGATAGCGTATCAACGATAGCGCTCCACAAAGCTCGTCTATAGATATTGGCCACTTGCATTGGACTTCTTCACACTTGCCCAACGTCAAAATGGTAACACATGCCTTGTATAAGTTTGCACGCATATTTACACTCGCATTATTACATTATATACAGTTGCGTTGCGTTGGGTTAAGCTCGGCCAACATGTATTGGTTGTCATCTTAAGATGAAAAATCTATCAGTTAAATGCTAAGTAGTATTTAAAATATTATATTGTTAGGTAAACATTATTTTACCACTGCTACATTTAGCAGAGAATCAGCTCAAAATTCGTAGCCGAAAACAAATTGTGGCTGTTTGCCAACCATCCGTCCATTACATTTCCATAGCCATCGAAAGACATTTATATTTGCATCGCATTTTAGTTTTCCTCTCACTTCCATTTTAGTGTGTGAAAGTTGGAAACTTTTTGGTTACAAGTGTTTAATAAATAATAAATAACAATATAATTATATTTTTTTAAAGCATGTAATTGCTCGACGTGTAAACCTAAATAAAATATGAATTGAAAATAATCCACGCGGACTGGGCAGCAGACGGGACGCCTGGTCCGCGTGGATTTTTTTCTGGTAATATTTTCTTTAGATTTAAACATCGAGCAGTTATATTAAAAATTATAACTATAATTGCTATTATTTTTCTTCTTTCAAATGTTTAATGGTATTCATTTGACATTGTAGGTTACCTACAATACGAAGAAATGGCGCTGACTTGCAGCTTAAGAAACGCTATAAAGAATTCGACACGGCCACCAGGGCCGCGGTAGCATAATTAGCATAATTATTCACAGCACACGTTTCTGCTGCTTTTGCTATCATTGCGAATTCCACTCGCTCGTCATCTTAACAGCATAGGCCCAAACATGAATTTAGACAGATCCGTTATCGTATCGCATCGTCAAAATGTTTATGAAAACTAAGCAACGCCCCTACCGGACCAAGAAAAAACTTGATTACGGAGCTGACAAAATTCGTGCTTGGTTCTCAGGTGGTCTGCGCCTTATATAAATACTAGCTGTGCTGTTACCCGCGGTTTATTGGGGATTTTTCCAGCAGTAAAACATAGCCTATATGTTAATCCAGGGTGTCAGTTAACTCCATACCAAATTATATTAAAATCGCTTCAGCCGTTTAGACGTGAAGAAGTAACAAACATACACACTCACAAACTTTCGCCTTTATAATTTTAGTGTGATACCTCTACTATTATGCACTGTACATATTTTACATACTCCGAGATTTTCCGTCGACATTAATGATGGTCGGATTTCTGAAGTCATTCACTACAGATCAGTGAAGTTAATGTACACTTGATCGTTTAAGGAAGTAAATAAAAATTTATATGCTTCATTTGTGAATAATTCGTGTCATGAAACCTGTGAACGCATTTTTCGTGTAATAAAATTAGGCTGTCGCTTTCGTCACATGTGTGTTTCGAAAGCATTATATTTCCCAGGTTGTGTCTAAAATGTTGTCCGGAAACAACAGCGAGAGGTTGCAAGAAATGTCATTAATCATGTTAGCGTTGAGCAATTGGTTACTCGTTTTTGTTTAAGTTTAAAACTTTCATTGAACACAAGTTACACGTTACGCGGCTAAAATAAAATTTTCAAAATGTTGAATTTCCTGAATCAGTATTATAATACGGTGTACCTATCTATATTTTTATCAGATCCATTAAACAGACCACTTTACAGAAAAAACATATTTTAGATGTTTTACACAGTTTAATACAAAGCCATTTTAGACCCCCAGGTTTAAATAAAAGAACTGTTGCTTTCATTTATTACAATAAGTCAAATAGCGTTCGGCTTAATTAAAAATTAGTGGGATAACTACGTCTCGCACCCGGAGGCGGAGAAATGCTTCACACATTTTCCCAACCTTGAAAAGATACTCTGGCTAGATAACTGACCGTTTGGCAGGTGGTCTCGCAGCAGCAGCAGCAGCAGTGGGTGTCGCACCTACTCCGCGTGCAGCGCGCGCCTTGCGCTCTACCAGCGCCACCAGCACCGTCTCCAGCTGCACCATGCCGCTCTCCCCCTTGCATACTGCTCGGTCCACCAGCAGGCACTATTGGCTAGACAACTGACCGTCTGGAAGGTGGTCGCGCAGCAGCAGCAGCAGCGGGTGCCACGTCCTGCGCCGCGCCTGCTCCACGTGCAGCGCGCGCCTTGCACTCCACCAGCGCCACCAGCACCATCTCCAGCTGCACCATGCCGCTCTCCCCCGTGCATACTGCTCGGTCCATCAGCAGGCACTACTGGCTAGACAACTGACCGTCTGGAAGGTGGTCGCGCAGCAGCAGCAGCAGCGGGTGCCGCGCCCGGCGCCGCGCCTGCTCCACGTGCAGCGCGCGCCTTGCGCTCCACCAGCGCCACCAGCACCGTCTCCAGCTGCACCATGCCGCTCTCCCCCGTGCATACTGCTCGGTCCACCAGCAGGCACTATTGGCTAGACAACTGACCGTCTGGAAAGTGGTCGCGCAGCAGCAGCAGCAGTGGGTGCCGCGCCCGGCGCCGCGCCTGCTCCGCATGCAGCGCACGCGCCTTGCGCTCCACCAGCGCCACCAGCACCGCCTCCAGCCGTACCGCACCGCTCTCCTCTGTGCATACTGCTTTGTCGACTGTCTGGAAACGAAATTAAACAAAAATGTCTTATCAACGTGTTCATGCAAAATTTCACCTCAATCGAAAACCGGTAAGTGGGTCAAATTTGAACTTCTGTACGGATTCCGTCAGCTCAGGACTTGCTTACCGACAGAAATACAACACCACCAAAAGTTACTTTACTGTGGTAGCCAATCACGTGCTCCCCAAGCGGCAAATCTATTAGGAACTTATACTACGCTCTTAGAACCTGCTCCTACATAAACTTAATTATTACGTGTTTTTTTATGTTAATAGGATTACAAACAAGCTTGACCCGCCTGATGGTAAGTGGCCACTACAGCCTATAGGCACTAGCGATACAAAGAACATCACTTGCGCCGTTGCCTACCCTGACCAAATTCCTTGCCCCGTGAAGCCCTGGGACCTTACTCACCAACAGAAACACAACACCACCAAACGGTAGTGTTATTAATTTGTGGTCTCCTGTAAGGTGGAGGTTACTACCACAGACGGACGCTCTAATTCGAGCGGGAAATCCGCTATGTTCTACCTTTCTTAAAGAGGTTCTTTGTCGCATTTTTTGTAAAATAATAAAAAACAGCTTGTTATTGATTTTATCTATATTTAGCTATGAAAGAAAAACATAGTGTAAACCCAGCTGCTATTTTGCCACCGTAACTATTGTTAGCGATGAATTGGCAAGTTTACAGTATTATTCTGGAACAATAACTTAGAACCAACCAGTGTTAATGTAGTGTAGAGGCGTGGATAGAATTTATTCGTTAGATTAATCAAATTTTTAAGTCATCTTTGTAACTCTTTTATCTGACTCATTGTCACCGACTACAAAAAGGTCCGATGATAGATTGCATGTAAGAAAACGATAATTAAAAAATAACGGGTAATTTACCAAAGTCTGAATGATGAATCGGGGAACGACGACGATCCGATGTGCTTATGACTTTAGAAAGTAGCCTTTAATTGAAAAAACACACTTTTCAATGTCGAGTTGATAAAAAAAAGTCACGATACAATGCGTGGGGGAAAAAACGATCTGTCATAACTCTGAGTAGGTGCTACATGTAAAATATCACTGAGGATTCCCACATAGCGCAAAATACGCTCAGTTCATAAACAAAATGCAAATTATTTAATTTACAGACCGTTAGAATGTTTCGCTGGCGGTTTTTCTCCCCCCTGCGCGCCCATCAGCAAGATAAAACACGAACAATGTATTTCCCTTAGACCAGTGGTTCTCAAACTTTTTAAATGACGGAACCCTTTTGGGAAGCAAAATACTTGATGGAACCCTACAATAAAACAATTATTTTTATAAGTGTATTCTATATTAATCAGCATAATAAAAGTACAATGTATCCGTTACTAATTATTATTTACTTCACCACTTGGTAAGGACAATAATAGAAAACATTAAAAAAGAAAAAATCTAACTAGTGGGAGGTATGAAACTGTTTTTTATTTTTCATCAATTGCTTGATATCAGGTTTGATGGAAGAAAGTTGGAGTCTCATATCAGCTTCGGCGTCCAGTCTATTGCGATATTTTGTTTTCGTGGCTGCGTAGGTAGAGAATCCTGTTTCGCACAAATATGTAGTTGGGAACGGGAGAAGAATATCCAGAGCCATTTGGCCAAGCATTGCATATTCATCTTGGATTCTGCACCAAAAATCATTAAGAGGCGTCGTTTTGAACAATGACTCCATACTTGTGTCTGATGACATTTCTAAAAGAGATTCATATATCTCATTTGACATGTTTTCAGGCTTTTCCAAGTTGGGTAAAAAAGGATTATGAATCCAGGAGTTCACTTTAATTTTTGTATTGTGTTCTTCGGGAAAATACTTTTCAAAAGATGCGCGCATCGAACTGAGATATTGGACCAATTCTTCAAACACATTATCTTCAAACATTTCTGAGTCGTTTTCGCTAACAAACTCAGTGAGTAACGTAAAACTTTCTATTTCTTTCTTACCAATGCAAATGATCCAAAAATCTAATTTTCTTTTAAAAGTAGTTATTTTATTATAGGCCTGAAACACTGTTGTCTGTTTACCTTGCAATGATAAATTTAATTCGTTAAGTTTTTGAAAGATATCCGCCATAAAAGACAATCGGAACAACCAAGTTTTATCATACAAACGGTCCTTCAAATTAAAAGAAGTATCTGCTGAAAGAAACATTTGTAACTCGGCTCTAAGTTCAAATAGCCTTGTTAAAGTTTTTCCCCGAGACAGCCATCGCACTTCTGTATGGAGCAGCAGTGTTTTATGTTTGCTGCCATAATCTTCACACAATAATGAGAACAATCGGGATTGTAGTGGTCGTGATTTGATAAAATTAATTATTTTTACCGCTTCATCCATAACTAATTTTAGATTAGACGGCATTTGCTTCATCGCAAGTGCTTGTCTATGCAGAATACAATGACTGGAACTACAATTAGGCGCTTTATTTTTCATTCGTGACACTGCTCCTGCTGTTTTACCTGTCATCGCCTTGGCCCCATCTGTACAAATGTCAATGCAATTGTTCCAACTGAGATTATGTTCTTCAAAAAATATATTTATTTTATTAAAAATTTCTTCCCCGGTAGTGTTTGTAAGCAGCGATGAACACATAAGCATGTCTTCTTCAAAAGAACTTTTATATGGATATCTCACAATAACCAGCAGGATAGCCAAACCAGCGACATCAGTCGACTCGTCCATTTGCAAAGCGAATCGTGTATTTTGTAGACGTGTAACTAGTTCTTGTTTGACGTAGCTTGCCAGATCATGGATTCGTCGTGAAACAGTATCGTTTGATAGCGGAACAGTAGAAAGATGCTTTGCAGATTTTTCATCAAGCATACATTTTGTTATGTCTAATACACATGGTTTTATTAATTTCTCAGCGATAGTGTGCGCTTCACCTGCTTGTGCAATGCGATAGCTAACTAAGTATGATGCCTCCGTGGCCTTTTCGTTGGTAGTTTGTGTTACATGCATCATATTTTTTTGACTTTCTAATAACTGATCTTTTTTGCGAACAAAAAATTCTTTATTCTTGTCTTTAGTCTCGGGGTGTACGGTTTCTAAATGTCGACGCAATTTGGCAGGTGCCATGGAACTATTAGGAAGCAGTTTACTACAGAGCATGCAGAGAGGTGAGCCGTTGGAATCAACAAATCCGAAACTGATATAAGATTCATCATACTTCCTTTTTTTCGTCTTTGAAACCGTCGAGCTTGACGTCGTGGCACTCGTGGCATCATCTTCTGGATCGGTGATTGCTAAATTCTCCGCGCGCATTGCTTTTGAACATTCAGCGTCATTAGAAGATGTTGTTGGAACACGTTTAACACCTTTAAGCCAACGTTCCATTCTTCTTTATTTATAATGTTACAAGTCAGGATAGTGGGGTTTAAATAATGCACAATCGTTACTGCGTATAAGAGACTAAATTTAGAACCTACAGGGAAGAAATGTATAAAACTGAGACAACAGAATACAGCAGGCAGTAAAACAATGAACACCAGTTTCTCGCTAGCGAGCTTGTAAGTAGGTAGTAACTTATCGCTCCGAACGCTAATCATCAACTGACGACGCCAACGCGCGATCGCCGCTTTTATACTTAGTCCTAGACTCGATCTCAAATATTCTCGAAAATACTCGAGTCGGCACCTTTGATAAACAAAAAGCAAAAATAAAAACAGAAATTTAAAAATAGCGTTGTAAACAATATCGACTTTATCCTTTGAAGTTAGAGACGAAAGTCGCTAGTTGACAACTATAGCGTCTAATTCAGAGGCGGCTTTTATCAAAGAGACTGAGCGCTTACAAGTATACTACCCGCTCGTTTTAAGTTTGCCGCTGGCGATAGGTATGAGTGTATGACGTTCGAAATTTTTTATTTAATTGTAACAATAAAAATTGTGTACGTTAGATATTTGGGTAAAACTATGACACATTATAAGTTTTGTTGTCACGTGGGGGAGGGTACGCGCATTCCACAGACCGGCAAACTTAGAGCGAACGCGTTGTACAAGTATAAAATTGTTGAGACCAAACTTATGAGATATTGTACCAGCTAATGTAACACAAGCTTATACAAATACAAATAAATAAATAAATAACATTCATAGCGTTTTGTCTCCGCGCGGCCGCGGAGTCCGCACAGCCGCGGAGCGACCAGAGAGAGGTGTTTTGATTTTTTTATTTCTAAATTCTTGCGGAACCCCGACAGAGGTATCACGGAACCCTAGGGTTCCGCGGAACACACTTAGAGTATAGCTGCCTTAGACGACGAATACGTTTCCACAGATATATCGTGCTTTATCCTTTGTTATCGTCTAAACTAAATTAGTGACATACACGACTAGCGCAAGAGTGATAAATTGTCGTAATGTTAATTAGACACATCAAAAGAGTATATGCAACATGCACTTTTTTAATTTCTGAGCGGTATTTAATATTTTAATACTTCTATTCTTTTGTTCATAATAATAAATTTGATTTATTAGTGACTAAGGCAAAAAAAACTTTTTTTTATGCAAAACCTTTGAATCGCTGTCGGACTTTGTTAAGGTTGCAGATAAATTAAGTTCTATATCCATGAATAATATTAGCTCAAAGACAATTATGTATAGGTAATCTTTTATAATGTCAATCGAGAAAAAAGGAGAATGTTTATTTTCAATAAAAAGGAAATTAAAGGACAATGTTAAAATTGGCCTAAGAACCAACACCAATTTGGCATTTATGATAATTCTTAGTATATTTTTTGCGATAATT